TTTGACAAATATTAACAATCTTTGTTAGAAAAGGTTAGCTTAAGTATATCCATTTCATTAAGTTTATATTGATTTACCAGCATAATCTATATCAGAGGTTGATAAACTACAACCCTTGAGCTGAACGTGGCCCATGGTCTATTTCTATACCTGCCTGTTGCTAAGAATTTATATTTTTAAAGGGTTGTGTACAAATAAGCTAACTAAAAAGCAGAGTAGGAGACAGTTTGTGGTCCACAGGGTGTGAACCATTTATTGTCTGGTTCTTTACAGAAAAGGTTTGCAAGTGTCTGATCTATGTGGTTTAATGGAGAGAGTTTGGAAATCTATAGGCTGGAAATGGCTGTGACTTTGAAAAGCTACCTAATGTGCCTAAGGCTCTCTATAGTAGGAATGGGAGTGATACCACATATCCTTTCTCTGACCCAGCTGTTTCAGGACCACATGAAATGATGTATACCGAATCTGTATACTGAATCTGCCGGAAATACACATGTTGGTTAGAAAGATACAGACTCCATACACTTTGTTGTTGTTCAGTCACTAAGCCGCGTCTCTTTGCAACCCCGTGACTACAGCACGCCAGGTTTATGTAATAGTTTTAGCATCCAAGTATAAAACAAGCAAACATGGTCTAAAAAAACAGTTTCCAAAGCCAACTATTTGTTGTAAAACTAGTAACAAAATAACCTTTGTTTTTGGAGAGCTTGATATGGGCCAGACTCTACAGTCAGCACTTTATTTATACCTTCTTCTTTTATCCTTGCAATACCCTCCTGTGGGGCAAATGCTGTTTTCTCCCCTCCACACACTTTACAGATGAGAAAAATGAGGCCCAGAGAAGTTCAGTAATTTTCTCAAGATCACACATCTAATCATGCCACTTCAGTTCAGTTCAGTTGCTCAGTCGTGTCCGACTCTTTGCGACCCCATGAACCACAGCATGCCAGGCCTCCCTGTCCGTCACCGATTCCTGCAGTTTACCCAAACTCATGTCCATTGAGTCGGTGATGCCATCCAACCATCTCATCCTCTGTTGTGCCCTTCTCCTCCTGCCCTCAATCTTTCCCAGCATCAGGGTCTTTTCAAATGAGTCAGCTCTTCACATAAGGTGGCCAAAGTATTGAAGTTTCAGTTTCAATCATGCCACTAGCAGAGAAGGAATCCAATCATAGGGAGCTTGACTCTAGGGCCTCTACATTTAAGTCCTGCATATTTTCCACATCATAGAAATATGTATTGATTCAGGGTAAGCCTGTCTGGATGGCAGAAGCCGCAGTTAACTGTGAACATGGACATCAGATCTGAATGTGTGTGAGAGAGACATGTGTCCTATGCACAGCAGGGATAGGGTCTAATCTAACAGACCTGCAGAAAGAGAGGTGGACGTGATGAGAAGAAAAGAAGTTTTGGATGAACTATGAGATGAGAAAGGTGGAACTATGAGATCAGACAGATTGATAATTGGACGCAGGATGTGCTGGAGGAAAGAAAGGTTGCTGGGAACAGATCTGAGCAAAGATTTGGAGGCAACGAGAGAGACAGACAGACAGACAGACAGACAGAATGAATGAGAAATTCTGTGAAGGGACACCAGGGAGCATTGCCACAGGGGATGTCAAAGCTGCTGATGTCTTGATAATTATCTGCAAAACTGGGCTACTCAGGAAGGAGAGAATGCAGAAAGGAAGCCAGAAAGACTGGGACAAAAAAACTGAGATATTTGAAGAGAGATGCTGGTCAGAATCTAAGGGCTAGAACCACAGCTCACAGTCCAAAGGGCAGTGAGACTCTAGAGAAGGAAAACTGCTGTTTCTTGAGTCAGATCAGATGAAGAACCAGACTCACGTGCATCACTGGTTCACCTGGTTGTGTGCACCTGGCGGCAGGGAGCAGCTTTCCAGGTGGCACCAGTGGTAAAGAACCCACCTGCCAATGCAGGTAGACATAAGGGACTTGGGTTCGATCCCTGGATTGGGAAGATCCCCTGGAGGAGGGCATGGCAACCCACTCCAGTATTCTTGCCTGGAGAATCCCATGGACACAGGAGCCTGATGGGCTACAGTCCATGGGGTCACGAAGAGTCGGACACAACTGAAGCGACTTAGCACGCACGCACGTGGACCTGGGACTAGTTTCCATTCCTAGCTCGTGCCACTCCAGGTCCGCCCATCCCCACTGTGGACAAATGTCTTCACCCTCTGCTGAATGGTCTTTTGTATTTTAAAGAACAGTTTACTCTCTCCTGGGTGGTCTCAGCAGTGCCTCTCTCTCAAAGATTCTTAATCTTTGTGGACATCAGAATCACTGGTGGAGTGTTTCCTTTTCCTTATTTATCTTGTAAGTAAATATACAGGCACTTGGTACAAAACTTAAAAGGTAAAAAATGCTCTGAAAAGCAAGTCTCCCGCCCACCTCCGCTCCCAGTCACCCAATTCCCTTCAAGTAGGCACCCTCTGTTCCAGCTTTCTGACCACCCAGCTTGGGCACAGACAGACTTAGATTGGACAAAGGGTAACATACACTCTACACACTGTTCTGCTCCATCCTTTTTTAACTTCACGATAAATTTTGGAGATAGTTCCAAATCAGCTCACACAGCATTTCCTCAGTCTTTTCGAAATGATGCAGAGTATTCATTGCAAGGCCGGACAACGGTTTTAAAAAAGCAGAAGTTTTTGGGGTGGGTGAGTCGTTTGCAGTCCTTACTGTTACAAACCTTGCTGCATTGCCTACCTTCAGGGCCTCTTTGTTTTTACAAAATAAGTTCATCTCTCTATAGAGGAAATTCTTGGAAATGAAATTACTAGGTCCAAGGACATTAGATTTAAAAGTCCCGATAGTCATGGCCAAATCATACAGATGAGACTTCCCTTGGTAAGATATGAGAGGACCTATTTACCTGTGGGACTTGGTGGTGGTGGTTTAGTTGCTCAGTCCTATCCGACTCTTGCGACCCCATGGACTGTAGCCTGCCAGGCTCCTCGGTCCATGGGATTCTCCAGGCAAGAGTACTGGAGTGGGTTGCCTTTACTTCTCCAACCTGTGGGACTTAGACACAAAAGGGCTCCCTGGCCTTATCTTAGACTCTCAAGGGGTGGGGCCTGGGCATCTGAATTGTGAGCCTCTTAGAAAGCGCTTCTGAGTCAGAAACTCTTCTGCGGTCCCTGGGTGGCCAGCCTCTCCCTTTCGCCATCCATCTGAAGCCATGAGCTAGACTGTCTGTTGGCTGCACCCCCAACAGCCTCAGCGTCTCCCGGCTTTCTGAGCTCAATGTCATGCTGATGAGCTGAGACCATCCAGGGCACAGCCACCAAGGGGGTCAACAGGCCCTAACTGGGAGGTCTTCTGTCCCCCTCGGGGTCAGGGACTTCTCCAGATCATGGCTAGAAAACGGGGCTTTTTTTGCTTAAAGCCAATTTCCACCCTCTGAGGGGGATGGGAACACAGGCTGTGCCAGGGTTACAACCACCTGGATAGCATATAGAAGAGGTCTGGAATAAAACAGGGGAAATGGAAATGGTTAGGAGAGGTGGGGTACTGAGTTAATTTTTTCTAATGTCTAGGTATCTTTTTTATTACAATATTGACATTAAAGACCAAAAAACAAAACTGCCACTTCCGACCCAACCCACTGAGCTGCCCGTGGCCCTCTGATGTGGCGTTGTATTCTCTGTGACACCCTCAGGAGGGTGGTGGGGTTGTTTTGTCAGGTCTGGCTGAGGTCTAAGGCCAGAGAGGCCCTTGTGGTGAGGGCAGGCCTGCCCCACCCACTGCTGAGGATTTAGGAGGAGATCGGGTACTCTATGTCTGAGCAGAGAGAGCAGATGCCCTATCATGCTGTGGGGTAGGCTCACTGTTACTCTGCCAGCAAGGGTTCAGGTCAGCCCCATCGTGGATAGGACCTCTTCAGGCCTGGCCTCAGGGCCTGACACTTAGTGGAGCTTAATACCTATTTGAGAGGAAGAGGGAAGGGTACCCATGTGGTCTAATTTCAAGAACTCTGAGGACTTGGCCCACCAAATCCTCCCCATCACCCTTCATGGACCTGACTTCCTTACAATCAGGGATCCTTCCAGCTACATGGATCTGTCTGCTCTCTAAAACAGGCACTGATCCTTCATTCATTCAACAAATAGTTATTGAGCACCTGCTAGGTACCAGGTATAATTCTAGATGCTGGGAATACAGCTGTGAACAGAAGAGTCGAAAATCACACCCTCATGAAGCTTACATCCTGGGGGGAGAGGAGAGACAATATACAAGGAATATTGTACTAGGTATTAGAATTGATAACATCTCTTTTATAGTATATACAATGGTGACAACTGCTGAGAGAAGGATAAAGCAGGAAAAGGAGATGGAGTGACAGGAGCATGTAAAAATTTTAGAGGGTGACCAGGGAGCCCTCACAGAGAAGCTGAGAGCTGAGTAAAGGTTTAAAAAAGAAAGAAAGAAAACCATGCAGATATGTAGGGGAAGAGTGTTCCAAGAAGAAGAAATGGCAAGTGCAAAGCTCCTCGATTTGTATTAGTTTGATTTCCTGTACTAGTCATTTTCCTTCAGTTAGATTACAAACCACTTGAAGGTAGGAATGTTTTATGTCACCAGAAATCATTTTGTTTACCTTTTATTAGATACCCTCTTGGACCTCTTGAGTTATGTGTCACTTGTAGGTATCAACTATAAAAGAATTTTAATTGAGCTTATGCTTCAGAAGAGGGGGTCCACAGCACAGTGTCAGACACACTACAGGGTTCAGTAATCATTTGCTGTTTGAATATTTGTAGTGACAAATTTAAAACATCAAGGTTCACTGTGTTTGTTAAAAGTGACTAATACCATAGTTTTCCTAATAGGTTGTTCATTGCCATGCCAGGTTTATTCACTATCATCCAAGGACCCACTTGTTCCTTTTCAGACCAGTTTCAATTCTAGAATACCCTCCCTAGGACACGACCTCAGAATCCCAGTTAAGTGACCACACTCCGGAGATGACCACACTTGTCACCCTTTTTATTAGCTTCCTCCAAGTCCTTGAAATCTCCTCAGCTGGAAGAGAATTTGCAACTTTTTAAATTTAATTTTATAATTTTTAGGGAAGTACTTCTAAGGCATTCACATCTGAAACCCAGGGAGAATATAAACAATTGTACCTGAAGTGTGGAAAATGAAAATGAATCGCATACCAAGAAATAGCCGACAGCATTTAGTTCTTTTGCTGGCTGGTTCTCAGGCAGCTTCTCCACCCTCCCCCTTGCCCTCCTCCCCGACCCCCGTCATTCAGCTGTGGGTCCACAGATGCTTGCTGAAGATTACGTAACATGCAGCCCAGTCCTTTGGAAAATACTTTTGCTTCCTGACCAGCTGAAGAGCATGTTGTACGGCATATCCAGTTTCAGAGCAGTAGAAAAACTGAAAGAAAGGAAAACAGTGGTGAACATTTTTAAAAACTCAGTAGTTGAAATATGTGTGTTTCGGGTAGGTCTAATCAACTGATATCAGTTGAAAGGCGTGTGTTTTTCCAGGGTCTAATCAGTTTAGGTGATGAGGTCTCTGCAGAGCTATGGGGCAGAACGCACACCCAGACTAGACAGCAACCTAGAAAGCCTGTGGCGAGGAGGGAGGGAGGGCTGGTGGGGACTTGGAGCCTGAGGGAATTTTCTCTTGTGAGAAAGTGGTACAAAGCTTGTTTGGAGCAGATGGGTAAGTCTTTGATACCAAGTGAGGGTCAGAGAAGTGTTGGCGGACATTCATTTGGCAGGGAGTGCAAGGAAAACTGGGGCTTTCCTGATGGGTCAAGCAGTAAAGGATCTGCCTGCAATGCAGGAGACTCAGGTTCAATCCCTGGTCCAGGAAGGTCCCCTGCAGAAGGAAATGGCAACTCACTCCAGTATTTTTGCCTGAGAAATCCCATGGACAGAGGAGTCTGATGGGCTACAGTCCATACAGTCACAAAAGAGTCAGACACAACTGAACACACATGGCAAACTGACATCTCTTTTTATAGGTCACGAAGAAAAATGTGGGAAACCACTGATCCCACTTCTGCTCTGCGGGGCAGCATTTTAAAATGCATGTGACTTCCCTAGTGGTCCAGAGGCTAAGACTTCAGGCTCCCAGTTCAGCAGGGGGCCCAGGTTCAAACCTTGGTCCTGGTCAGGAAACTAGACCCCACATGCCGCAGCTAAGACCTAGTAGCAGCCAAATAAATAAAAATATTTTCTAAAAGTATGTTGCTTAAAATGCATGCTGTCATGTTGCCATTGGGTTGGGTATTAGGCTCAAGAGAAGGGGAATTCCTATTTTTCCAGCTTGTCTTAGAGCAGTAACTGATGGGCATCATGCCTTGGGGCACAGTAAACCCTCAGTAAGTGTTTGTGGTTGAAATTCTACATAGATGAAAGAGGAATTTAATGATCCAACCACTGGCACCGCTCCTTTTCTCTGTATGGCATTTGAGGCATGTTACGTATGAGGCCTTCATGGAGCAGACCGCTGGGGTCTTTTCTTGTGACTCCTTCACTCCCACTGTCCCTGCTCTGGCTTCCTGTCCTCACCTAGAGACATCTTTTCCCCTGACCTGCCTCCTTCCTTCCTCCGGAGCCTAAGTATTCTGGGGCATCATTTCAACCAATGTAATGATAAGGGGAGGCCAATTTTCTTTCCCATTCTGTCATGTTGGTTGAGAGTTCTATTTCGATGGGTAAAACAGTATTCCCTGGACTGTGGGCTGACTGCTGTGGGCTAAAGGCTAGTTTATTGAGCCTTGTCCATGGAGCTGCTACATCACAGGCCAGATGGTCGTGCAGGCATCATGCAAGAGGGAATTAAGTCCTCCAAATAACCTATAGCTGTAACTGGAAAATGTCACTATGACCTTTTTTCCAGTGCTTTTTAAACTCAGGCTTTAAAAGTCTTTTTTCTTTTTCTTTTCTTTTTTTTTTAATTAGGCAATATGTCACATGGAGCAATAGTTTAAAAGCTCAGAAGGTAAAAATTCTCCCTCATCCTCCTCTCCCTCAGCTTAGCCCCTTCTCAAAGGCAACCAATGCACCAATGTCTTATGTGTCCTTCATATACATTTTATATGTGTGCAAGCAGATGTGCATGCACACACATACATACTCACACATTCCCCTCTCCTAATATTTTCCCACAAAATAGCAGCACCCTTTACACATTGGTCTGCACCTTGCTTTTTTTTTTTTTTTCCTTATCACTTAACAGTATATTTTGGAGGTCATTCCACATCTGTTACTGATATTTCTTTCATCATGGATTCCAAACACACATGAAGCAATCCACATTCTGATCATTTCTCTTTCCTCGGAAATTGGCCATTGGTTTTCATCTGTCTTCCCCTTGCTGGTGTATGACTTCTACCACACAATGGTCCAGTCACATTCTTTGAATAGCCTTCCAGAAAAAATTATCCTAATAAGTCTTAGTGCCTTTCCCTGGAGGATAAGTGAATGATTTTACGTGACTGGGGGCTCTGCCAGCATGTTGGTGTCACACTACTGTTAATTTGAAACACATCTTGAATGGGGTCCCTTAAGGTCATGAAGTGGGGACTCCAAGAACTGACCTGACTCCTGAGGTTGTAGCATGTTTTCTCTTGTTCCAGACACTAGAATGAACCGAAGCATTCCTGTGGAGGTGGATGAATCAGAACCATATCCAAGTCAGTTGCTGAAACCCCCCTCAGAATATTCCCTGGCAGAGGAGTCAGAACCGCCTGCTCCAGATGCAAGGAACACGGCACATAACAACTTGTCTGCACCCCCAACTGCTCGGTCTTCCTCCAGAGACTTTCCTCAGGCTCACCCACCCCTGCAACTATCAAATCTCCAGCAGCCTGTGTCCCCGAGGGTCACCCACCTGCGCGCTAAAGTCTTGGCAGAGAGTGAAGACAGCTTGTGGAGGAGACACCTGGATCCCAGCAAAGACTTCCCCTCAGGCTTCTCTGCAGCCGGGGAGCCCGAGACTCAGTCTGTGGCTGGAGCCCTCCCCCAGGAGCATCAGTTTTCCCTTACAGAAAAGCCTAATCAATGGCTGGGATCTTGGCTCTCAGCAACTTCCCCGGACACTGGCCATGACTCTGACAAATCCGACCAAAGTGTACCTAATGCCTCAGCAGACCCCCAAAGTGGTAGCCAGGAGATGGTGCCCCGGCCGCATAGGAGCAGAGCAGCCCCAGACCCACCTACAATAGACACGGGGTATGATTCACAGCCACAGGACGTCCTGGGCATCAGGCAACTGGAAAGACCCCTACCCCTCACCTCCGTGTGTTACCTCCAGGACCTCCCCAGACCGCTCAGATCCAGGGAGTTCCATCAGTGCGAACCTCAGAGATACCCAGCGTGGGCACAGATGCTGCCCCCCGAGCCCTCTGTGCAAGCTCAGTGGAATTATCACTACTATTGTCCTGGAGACCCCGACCACCAAGTGCCATGTAAGTGAGTCGCTCTCCTCTGGATGCCATGGCCCGGGTAACAGTAAACGGGAATCTCGCGCCAGTGTCTCACATCGCTAGACCAGCATGGGCAGGTCAGAAGGCAGGGAGGGCATTCTGCTTCCTGTGGCGCTCTCCATGTGTGTTTGGATTTGCAAGGGGCTTTAGAAGAAAGCTTTATCTTGGCCCAGAGCCTGTCCCAATTGGAACCTGCCTCTCTAGGAAATGTTAAGAAGAAAACAGACTGCTCTCTAGGATAGCTGAAGTGAAACTTACCTACAGATGGCAGGGAGCCATCCCAAATGACTTCTAGAAAATTTTGTTGTCCAAATTCTTGGGCATTCTTTACATACTTGTTCTCCACCTTAGATTTCTCAGAGAAAGAGGCCTTCAGTCAAAAAAATCAGAAGGTGCCCAGAATGTCATTGAGGCTTCAAATTCATGGCATTACCTGAAGGTCCCTATTGGCACACCTAATGCCAGTATGGCATCTACTTTGGGCCTTTTTTACTTCTCTTGTCAGACTGTAAGCTTTTGCACATCAGCAGATTATGTATTTTCAACCCATAATTCCCCAGCATTTAGCACAGTGACCAATATATACGAGACTCTCAACAAATTATGTTCAATGAACGAATAAAATGCATCAGTACAGTAAGCATCTCTGAAAGTGATAAACACTTAGACTGAGGTAAAAGGTCTGTTATAGTTCTTGATGTCAAGTCTCCATGAGGCTGCTGGAAAATAACAATAGGGCTTTACAGATGAAACACTGGCTGGGAGGCTGGGAGATGCAATATTTTTCTTAGCAAATAAACACCATATCAAAAGCAGTTTGAAGAGTCTGACCAAATCAGATGCCTAGCTTTAAAATAAATTATGGAAATAATCACGAATCCTATAATCAATCATAATTTATTTATTTGCATGTGTACATTTAATATAAAGCTTCCGAAAGCAAATTCAGCAACCGGGTCATTCATAGTTTAAAAAAAGAAAATGTGAGGTAAAGGAATTTAACTTAGATGATGCCTGAAAGAAAACAGGGAAGAATGAATGTGAGTTAAGAGTAAGGCTAAGAGATGAGGCAGCAGCAGGGCTTTGGGAGAAAGAGCCCCTGAGATCTACAACTGGGACTCTGGTATTGGTGTTGGATGTTGGGTGGTCAACTGACTGTGAAGCAAGGATACCACTCTGAGTGTCCAGGAGCAGGGTGAGCGTGCTGGTGAAGTCCCTTAAGCATAAATCACTGAACCTTGGCAGGGTCAGGATTTACATTTCTTTCTCAATGATTTTTAGGTTAAAAAGGAATCCTACAATACTTTTTTTTTTTTTTTTAAGATTCTACTCTGCATTTAAAGATAATTTTTCTGATCATAATAATAATATTTGTTCACTTTCAAAACTCAAATATGCCCAAAAGTCTAATTCATGTTTCTATCACCCAAATATAATTCCTTATTGGGGTTTGACATATGTACTGTTTTTTTTTTGCATGTATATATTTAATATGATATTAAAATAACTTCAGTATAATTTTCTAGCATTGTTTCAAAATGTTGCATAGTATTTCGTCAGATGGATCTATCAAGTTGTTTTTTAAGCTGTTTTCTGTTGTTGGATATTTTAGTTTCCCATTTCTGATCCAATAAGCAATGGTACGATACGTCACGTACCTACGTTCTTATCTGCATGTCTGGTTAATTCCTTAGATTAATGTGTGGAAGTACTAATACTTCATCAAGGGCTTTGTGATACTAAATCCCAAGCCTTAAACCACTAACAAGAGGAAGCCTCATTGTAATAGACAGAGAAAGCGTGGACAATTATCATTTGGGGGTCCCAGGAAGATCTTCCCACTTGAAGATATTTTTCCTGTTGAACCCTGAAATGTCATCACTAGCAATCTAGTCCTTGGAGGTAAGCTTTGCCCTCCCTGGGCAGGCTCTGTTAAAAAGCAAACGCTCCCACTGGGAACACTCTTAGTCTTTAACACCTGCTTTCTTTATTCAGATTGCCTCCGCTTGTGCTCTACATTATTTCCTTCTATTGACTTGGGGAGGAAGGAGGGGGCCCTAGGATCCTGGGAGTGAAGACAAGTGCTGAAAGGCAGAGAGGAGAAAACTGGGACAGGAGAAGGGACTAATTCACGGAAGGTGTATAAACAGCCAATAAGTGTATGAAACCAAGCTTCACATTACTGATTTAAGAAATGCAAAAATTTTAAATATATATTTTTCCTAATCAGATACACAAAAATTAAAAGCCTGGGACAATATCTAATGTTAGTGGGGTTATGGGAAAATGAACATTCCCATCTACTCTTGTTTTTTTTTTTATATTTTGTGATTTTATCTATTTTTGGCTGTGCTGAGTCTAAGTTGCTATGCTAGGGCTTTTCTTTAGTTGCAGTAAGCAGGGGCTAATCTATAGTTGCCTTGCACGGGCTTCTCATTGCAGTGGCTTCTCTTGCTGTGGAGCACAGGTTCTAGGGCACTCAGGCTTCAGGAGTTGCAGCTCCCAGACACTAGAGTACAGACTCAATAGTCGTGGCACATAGGCTTCCTTGCTCTGCGGCATGTGGGATCTTCCCAGATCTGGGATCGGACCCGTGTCTCCTGCATTAGCAGGCAGATTCTTTACTGAGCCACCAGGAAGCCCCCATCTATTCTTGATAGGAGTATAAGTTGGTATAGTCTTCCAGAAGGCAATTTCACTATCAAAATTTTAAACGTGTCCTATTTGGTCCAGTGTCTCGCTTGTGAGAATCTATTCTATAGACACATTCAATTAGCATGTAAAAATACATGAATAAGGACTTTTATTAAAGCATTGTTGCATTAGAGTAAGAATAAAAAATCTAAAATGCCTATCAATAAGGGGAAAATTATTGCCAATAATTATAAATAATTATCAAATTATGTTATAAAGGATATAAATTATTGTAAATAAGTTGTGATTTGTTTATACAATAGACTATTAGGCCCCTGTTACTACACTCTGACATAAAAAAGATTAAAGGAGAAGCATGCTATGAGGATCCCATACATGCTATTTTTTAAACTATATATGTTTAAAAACATTAAAAAGACTGGAAGATGGCCACAACCATTAACAGTGATCGTGAGGGGGAGGGGAATAAGGAATTAGGAGAGACAGGGAGATTTTTCTTCTAACTCTCTATACTTTTGTTAAATTTGTTATAGCAAACAGGCATTACTTTTATAATGTAAAAAATAAATAAAAGTTAAAAAGAAAAAAGTAAAAGGAAATGAGAACATGTGGGCTCACCCTAAATCACCCCGCATGTGCCTTGGCCCTGGCCTCCAGGGGCCTCTAATTACAGGGAAGAGGGTCAGGGTTGGGCTGGTTTTGTCTGGGAAAACCAGTGCTTATATTTTGTCCTCAGAGCACTGCAAACCCAGAATATTTCTGAAGCATCCTATAGCAATGGCTCCCAAGAAGGTTGCTATGAGGATTAAATGAGATAATGTATTAAAGACACTAGGAAAGTGGCTGGCTTGTAGTAAGCTCTCAATAACTAGCAGCTCTTAGTTATTATTGCTATTATTTAAACAGATCCTGCAGCCCAGCCCTGTAAAGTACCCCTCTACTTCTAGATCCCTCTCGCTGGCACAGATTTTAAGCATTCAAAGCATGTGTACAAATGCTTAGTTTCATGTCAGGGCTATCACTGCACTTAATTATCAACAAAACCGCTTCAAAAGAGCTGTTCACCTAAGCGATGCTCTTGCAGTTGGAAACCATGGCTACGTGATTCTACGTGGCTTTAGAAGAGCATTACTTCCTCATCTGTTAGTGAAAATATAAATAAATGCTCATCATGCAAATGGCACAGCTTAGCCCCTGCAAGTTAAAGCGCGAATGGTTACTAGTCACTCCTTTCATGTAAAAAAAAGTTATCAAAGCAGGTGAAAACAAAAAGTGGAAAAGTCTATTTCTTTCCTTCCCCATCATCCCCCAGAGAAGTCAGCCTCTTCCTGCCTCAAAATCCTTCCTCTGAAGGTCACCAGAATGGAGGTCACGGCTCTGCAATCAAATGAAACCCTTGACGCAAATAAATTGGGAAAAAAAAAAAAGAATGTATTAAATCTAAAGTGCTCTTTTCTTACTGTAAAATTTTTGCTTTCTATACCAAAGAGACTGAATAAAATAAACCCGTGGACACATGCCCACTATTGCTCACATAGACTCCCAAACATGATTATTTGTGTGCTAAAATGCATGTACAGTTAAAAGTAAGGCAAGAACAAAGCAGATGGAAGAGATGATAAAGAAAGGCAGTCCCTTTCAGGAACTACAGCTGTTTACAGCTGGGGGAGTTCCTGTAACAGTTTATGTTGGCCACCTTGTCTTCCTGGCTAAACTGATTGTATTATATCATCATTTTTTTTTTTTTTGACAACTTGAAAACCACATTTTACTTTCTCCCTCATAAATTCTTCTAATATCATTCTTAATAAGGAAGAAAAATGTTGAATGTTTTGACTGATAAGTGGAAAACCTTGTTTAGGATTTGGTTTACAAATTCCAAGTGGTCAAAGCCCAGTAACACGAAGACCATGGGTAACCCACGCCAAGAGGATCATAAGATTGACGAGCAACATACAGTTCTGGGCACCCACGCATGATTGTGCAAGATTTGTATTTTTGTTCTATGATGAACGCTGCATCAGAATCTAGGAGTTACTATGCTAATAAATCACTTGTCTATCACATCCCCCACCACCTTCTAGTCTCCATCTTCTACAGAATACAATCTCTTGATGGAATTTTAGGCATAGAGCACAAGTCTCTGGGGGAGATATCTTGGGGAGCTGTTCTTAAGTCTACCGTGTAGGTGGCTGCTGGCTTGCATATCTCCTACTCATACACTAACGAGTGTGGGTTTATGTTTCAAAACAGACATCCACAGACAAACAGATTTTCCCTTTCTCTCCTGATTTATTTTGAGCAGCTCAGGAGAACTATAGCCTATT